GAACGAACAAGAGCAAAATGTGTAAAAGAGAAATCTATCTTCGATCAGCGATCGATATTTTAATCGAAACGTTCTTATAAATTTCAGTCATCGATATTTGTCTATATTTTGTGATTATTCACATATTTTTTTATTTAGTTTTTAATCATTAAACTTTTTTTGGTTCTTTAAAGGTTTTCGAACATTTAAGAATAAAATATTTAAGCATGCACAAGTAGACTAAATTCTTAACAAAATGTTGATATTTAAATCTGTTACTCAACATCGAATGTTTATATCGTATAGAACTCGTTTTGCAGACAGGATAAATTTTATGCAAATTAATTTATTTACATATATGTGTGTTGCTATTTTTGCTTTGTTGTCAGTTAAGGTCAGGCGGATCTACCGATGAAATTGCCATTAAAAGCATGAATAGCAGATAAATCTCAAACGAAACTTGGCCCCAGTTTCCGCACGCATTTCTCATATTTTCACACGTCTACATGCACATTTACGTATTCGCATGACCTTTCGCAACAATCGCACATTGCATTGTTCGGCAGGTCGCAAAGTGTTGCGCAAAGTTGTCGCATGTTGTTTCAGGTCGAGAAAGAGCGCCGGTCAAAATATCAGTGAAGGCATCACTTAACATTTTTATTGCATCAACGAAATGCAAGTCAGATCTTAAATTGCCTGTACCATACGCGAATTATTAATTATCACGACTGATTACGCACGTGAAAAAGTCGGCCTTCGTGCACGGTCGCACGCGAATATATCGTATTAAATTTATCGCGACACGAACTTGGACATTAACGTTAATATTGTTTATATGTTCAAATGTCTGCATATTAAAAGACATAAATTTCAACGAATAAGGTGCACAGAGAATCGCCAACGAAAGACCGGCAGTATTCAATCTAAATGATCACCAACATTTAAGGATACGAAAATAAATATTTTCTCGAATCGCGTGCGCAAATAGCAGCCTTTTAAGTGTTTCCCATTTGAAATAAATAATCAGAGATGCATGTCGATTCATAATGCGAATTGCGTATTTGTTTGTCACTACGAATGGCGCAAAAATGTATAAATTTTTCCTTTTATACGGAAAAATTAACATATGTCTGCTTACACATGATCCTTGAAATATATCGCGAAAAAGTGATAAGCGAAATAAAATATCTGATGTTCTTACTGCGACACACACACACACGCACACACACGCGCGCGCGCACACACACACACACAATGTAGTTTTTTTGGAATAATGCCAATTTATAAACTAATTTCTAATGTGTTAAATTAATTTTTTTCTTTTTTACATACACTCATAGAAAAGCAACCCCCTGTTTAAAAAAAAAATGTCTTTTAAGAACACCACACCTTAATTTTAAAGCCAGAAAATGACATTTTATATTATTTGTAATTAAATGAGCTGACGAAGCATTATATTGAATATTAATTCGGAAATGTTTCAGAACCGAATACATTACAATACGCCTACTGTAGATTTATAAAATCTATAAAATCGAATCGTGAATCCACCTTCGAGGTTATCGGTCCAAGGTCTCCACTAATCCCATCAATAATTGGATATATTTCACTGTGTGTTATCTTTTACGTCTTACATAATTCTCTAGCATCCAAGAAAGTATATTTTTCATGATTATTTTTCGGTAAGAAGAGATTTCAAGGATACGATTCTCATTAACATTCTTAACTTATTTGAGATGTCGATGAACCAATATCGACACAATGGCGACACAAATATCGGTTCACCATTGCATGTGATTGTTACGTAAGAGTGCACAAAAAATATTCTAATTACTTATACAATTTTTGTGCAATTTTATTATTTATTTATAGAATTTCTATCCTGTTTGGAACATTGTTGATATTTGGTTTCCAAATGTCAATTTTTACCCTAAAAAATTTAGCTTTTTTTATTGCGCATAAAATAAGTGTTGACACAAAAATGTCTTATACACAACGATTCTATTAAAATATATACATATTAATATACATCTTTTAAACTTGAATACACTATAAAGATGTATAAGATTAATAATTTTTTTGTAAGAATTATTACACATTATTTTTTATTACAGGTTTATTAATTCCTGCTGTATTTTGCGATCGATTTTTTGTACGTTTACATAAAACCCAACTGCACCCAAACTCGAACGATGCAATTTTGCAGTCAAGAAAGAAATCGTGTATTCGTAAAACGTATATATCGTCGACCGATGTTGCGAGTATTACGAGCACGCGTAACAGGTGTTCGAGAAGTTACCGGAGCTGCAAGCAAAAGTGTTACATCAGCGCGAAGACGACGCGCGCGATCGTCGTATACGATCATATACACAGACTACTCCCACGAAAAAGGATTTATCGCGTCGCGCGAATCGCAATTCAGGAATGGTTTTCGACTGTGCAGGTAAATTGCAAAACGAAAATATGACGCTATTCAGTCCGCAGCTGTTTTGTAATTTCCTATGCATGTCCGTTGGAAAATAATATCATAAAATATTTACATAATAAAGTAAAAAAGTAGAATAATAATACTTTTATATAATATCTTAAATAAAATAAAAAAAAGAGAATTATATATACTTGGTCAATATAAATTCTTAAATATCTCTGGGATATTCGAATACGTTATGATATTTAAATGCATATTATTTAATAATTATTTGCTGACTATAAAGTATAGCTATAATCCTTAGTCTTTTACATAATTGAGATAAAAATATTTAAAGCTGAATCTTCAGTGATATTCGATATTGAAAAATTATGGCATTAAGTTTACACATAATTATGGCAGAGAAAAAATATATTAAAATTTAAACAATAAATTAATGAATTAATTATGATAATATTATAGTATTATATACTGCAATTAGTATCACCGTAAAAATCGTCGCTTTGCAATTTGCCTTGCATGTCTATGCCAATTTCCTCTTTACGTTTCGCCAGTCTGACACAACCGGAACCTCCTCCACTTTTCCATCGAGAACGGTGGAAATTCCGAGAATGGAACTGTTCGTCGGGCTCTAACCACTAGTTGCAGCGCGGATGACATTGACTATCCTGTTACTTGTCTACCACTCGGTGAAAGTTGACAAAGCGCATCTTCAAGGTCAACCGTTGGAGAACCGTCTTCACTCGCAGATAACGTTTACTGAAATTCGGTGTCATCGCGAAGCGACAAACAAATTGCAAAAGTTGGAGGCGCGACTTTTTCCTTTCATTCTCAAAAACGATCATAAACGCGGTAAAACGCACGGAGATAACATCCTGAGTGACGTGCGAAAAGAATAGGCGGCGCCTTAATTGTCGGGAACGTTAATTGTTCCATTGTGCGTTTCAATTACCCGATACAAGCGAGTAACAGGTTTTGAACTTGCGCGCGAAACAATGTTGATAATAATTTAATAAGACGTTTAGCGCGGTTGACGACTACTGTACGATTCGCGGTGTGAATATCGTTGTTTAATGGAATGAATTTAATGGAGAGGTAATACTTTAAACTAGGTTTTCAGCTTGTTACGCAAAATGCTATCGATTGAAGAGGTACAATAATTTTACAATTTTAACGATTTAAAAACTTCAGATTTAAATAAATGATAAAATGTGTTTTTTATTTTTTTGCAATTAAATTTTAAATTTCAATAAGATGCAAAATATTGACATGGAGATAAAATATATATAAGCATTATAATGTGAAAAAAATTATGTATTAACTTTCCAAACTTTCCAAACTTATTAAATCTCAGCATTTACGTTACATCTCACATTGTTATGTAATGTAAATGCCTTTATTGTTAAATGTCATTAACGATAAATGAATTCAAACAATTATCATTGTTTGTTTTGTCAAAGAAAGAGAATTTCGTTCCAACGCCGTGCCCAGAAAAACCCATATTAACATATGAAACGCGAGATACGTACGGTCAACTATTCATCGCGCTTGAGTTGAGACTCAAAGAAATGGAAAGTCTTTTTATCTACCGTTGCTGCCAATGTATATCGTCGCGACGTGTTTCGTCTTAAATTCACAACAGCGATAAACACTTCTATATGCTCGGACAAAATACGCTTTCTAGGCCGGACATCGATTAACACGAGACTTCTAACAAATAAGTGCAACACCTTGAAATGAACCCAAAAAATTCCTACTAATTGTACGAGTAGTTTCAGAACAGCTATAAAATATTTCAAGGACAGAACGGACTTGTATATGCTGTATTTAATTTTTTCTTTCCAGCAAGACCTTTTCACGAAATTATGACGTTAAGATAAATCTAATTAATAAAATTAATTCTTCTCATTAATTTCACAGGTTAATTTTAGCAGAAATTTTATATTTAAGACTTATTTACTAAAAAGAAAAATCTCATAAATTGAAACATTTATCGTTTAGTTTGAAACATATAAAGAGATTAGTTGCAAATTATTGATCACGCAATCGACAGTATCGTGCCGGTATGGCTGTGGGAACAAAGAGTTTACTCCGACTGTCATTAGCTGTTAGCTCCAACCTATCCTATCATTAAACATGTGGATAAAAATATAGGTGAACAGTGATCGATCGCTCCGCCGCTTTGAGTTCGATCGAATCGATGTGCTGTTGAACGATCACTCTTTCTCTTTCTCATCATTACAAATGTATCCATGAAATTGAAACTGAGACAAGTTTCCTAAGTTGTGATAAGGCTCTTAACTTTTCAATTTTTATTTTTACATGCGCGCGTGCCATATAATAAAATTTTTCATAAATAGAGTTTAAAAAAATATAAATTTGATTATTTTTATTTCTATTGTATCAAAAAATTGACACTCTACTTTAAATTATTTCATAATTGTAATAATTTAACAGATGTATCTGACAAATATTTGACATTGTTAATTTAATTGTTAATTCGACAAGGCTTACAGGCTGTATCGTGCATCATGATAGCGTAATCTCGATTTACTGCATCATCTAACATTAATAAGATATCCCGGAAGCAGCTCAAAATCTTACACAATGATTACATAAATATCTTTCGCGTCATTTTCTATCGATCAATCAATTATTGATTATCATTTTCTTCCATTAAATCTGTTCTTTTAAAAAATTTTTAGCAAGCCGGATTTGGTACACAATGAAGAGAAAACGAAAAAACGCGGAGTCGATTTCCCGTGAATTGCGAAAACACAATGCTACCTCTGTCTTAGGATCACAAATCAATCCGCGGAATCTCTAACCCCCTAATTATCCGAACCAATTATGACTAAGGTCTCGAGCCATCGGAACGTCACGTTGGGTCCTTGCAGTGAAGGGTGGGATGAGTCTACGGTCTGGTGGGGACCATTTCTATATAATCGACGGTGAAGGTGCCTGTCTCTTCATATCCTATCAGTGACTACGTTTCTTTAACAGCCGTCTTCTACGTCAATCTATTTTTTTCCAAGAAACAAGTGATACAAGGTGAGTGTTGTCAAAGTTTGGACATCGTCCAAGGATTGAAACCCACGTTATAATTTTTGGTGAGTTCAAATTTCGATGCTACGACCAGATGAAAATCTTTATAATCGTTAGCGACAATGAAAACGCGACAATTAAGGTAAAGTATATATTTTTCCTCTATCCACAGCATCGAAAATTGAATTAAGTAAAACTAAATAGACTCTTGAGTCACATTTCTAGTTAAAATCATTGTATCCATGTATCTTCCAATTTTTTATGAAATTTTCTTTGAATACGCAAATTAAAGTCTTCTTTTTGTTTGGTTTTTATTTTTTTTTCGTAAAAAATTGCTATTACTTTTAGCTTATGATTAATTTCTTGAAAGTTAAGGCTTCATTATGTGTGCGAAATTTTCAATATTATTAATAAATTGCACGTGGAAGAAATAAATGAAAGAAATAAAGAATGTAATTTAATTATACACGTAATTTTGTTTTTCTTTATTGTAGCAAAGATTACAGTATACTAATAAATCAATTACAGGCAGGCGACGTGAAGAAATTTTTTAAATTTGATAACAACAATATAACTGTGTGTGATTTCATACTATGTAAAGGCATAAGTAATCTTAATAAAATTTCTATTCTCTTTCAGCAACTTGTAAAAATTTACGCACTAATATGAAAGAATGAAATATTGTACAAATCGTAAAAAATATAAATTTGAAAATTCTTTACTATCTTTGCTCTAATATTATTGTAATTAATCATCAAATTTGTGTGACACTTGATATTTCTCAACATTGTTTTTTCAACGTTCACCGGAGAAATTTCTAATTGGGCGTTATCGCGATTTGACGAATCACGTAACATACGGATTACATTGGCGTTCATGCATAAAAAAAATCGTCTTACGACTTCATTAGAGACACTCCCTAAGAGAAACTTCTGCTTGATGGAAAGGAACTGTTTGTATCCGTGGAGTGAACCTCGCTCGCGTATGTCAACGACATTACGTACGAAACTCTCACCAACTGTCCCAGAACGACCCGTAATAATAAGTTGGCAAAATTATGCGATGACCAAATATCAAAATCGATATTTAAGTGACTTATCTATTCTACTAACACACACGCCCAACCGATTTATAGACTTTACATGTGTATGACATTTCACACATGTTATCTCTCAAACATATTTATTTATATTGTCGTTTCATTATATATTTTACATATGTATGTTTTATTATATATTATTTTCTAGGTATGTGTGATAATCTTTTCTTTTTATGCCTGTTTCTTAATAATCTTTGAAGTTTTCAGTTATCTTTGAATTTATATTATTCTGTTGATTTTAAATGATTTAGCTGTGATTATGTTTTAGTTCCTATTGATCTGCAGCATTAATACACAGACATTTCTAACCTGGAATAATTTTTTACAATTTTTACAAAGAAAAAAATTAATTATAATCAGAATTTCAATTTAAAATTTAAAATAAATAATATTAATCAAAGCCATAAAATAAAGAACTTTTTAAATATAAAAAAATGGCTTTTAAGTCACAAAATTATGTATTCTGAATATTACATAATTAATTAATACTAATTTTTGTATTATTTTGCAACAGATGATGCTAGTGCCGCTGGCCGTAGTGCTCTTCGCGGCGTTCGTTAACGCCGAGCCGGCGATCAATGAAGCCCGACCGCACAGTAACCGACCTGGAAGATTCTTATCTCTTCCAATACCGCAAAAGTGCTCAAATCGTAAGTATAATTAGCCTTTTCTTTTGATATTAGCGTTCCCTGTCAAATTAATTACTTGCTTTATCCTTCTGTGGACTATGACAGCACAAAATGATTTGCCCTATTTCTTATAAAGTTATTTAGTCCTAAAATATTTTATACTGAAACTCTCTTTTCAAGAACTTGAGTAAATTTATTTATTTGTTGTACAAGCTAGAAAGATATGATCATGTAAAAAGATCAAGTCAGTATTTCGAGATATGAGACAATTGTTACTATGATCGTCTGATGACGTAATATAATTTGTTACGTTTACACAAAATCTCTAAACTTGTTTTCATGTCTGCATTATAGTAGTTATGCGGAATTTACTTATCAAGACTTATCTCTGACTTTATCTCTCATCGCGTATTCCGTAATCAAGATTGTTCGTATCTTATGATAATTTTCTTAGCTGTAATTGCGCGGACAGACCGTTAAATGCGGCTTACTTAAGCGTGCAAATACTACCGACCGACGGATTTTCACGGTGAAAAGAATTTTCACGTTCTAATATAGCAATACCTCGCGTACAAAGCGAGCCCGTGCTGATTAGATCACTTGCGCGTAAAATGCCCGTTAAACGAGAAACACAAACGGCGAGGACTTTCATCGTCGTTTGTTCGCGAAAGGGGCGATCGTGTGTCTCGGCACGGTATTGCCGTCTCAAAGGAATCGAGGTTACAATGCTGATACATGCTAAGAAGGGGTTCCCCTCGCGCAATTTCACGAGCTACGAGTGTACTTTTAAAAGCAGACGAGCCTCTCTCGACTCTTGTGCAAGCACGCGCCCCGGGTATTCACTTTTGATCGCCGTGGGTAGGTGGTTACCGGCTCGTGTCCACTTGTTACCGCCAACGGGTCCCCGATACTGCATCGGGAACTTTCCTGATGATTCTTTATCTTGTCCGATGCACACTTTCTCGACGCCATTCGATCAAGCAGTCAGTCGCGCCTACGCGACGATACGAGACGCTTATTACGAAAGTGGAGTAAGTTCGCTTTCGAAAACCTTATTAGGATGCAGATGCTCCGTTAATTCCTGATATAATCAATACAATAAATCTGTCTTTGCAAAAATCATATAAATACGTACGGAAAAAATAAGATATAAATATTAAAGTATAAAATAATCAGCGTTGCGCTATGTGTTCGCGAATAATGCTGCGTCATTTTAATACATCTAACGCGATAAGTATTATTCACATTTCTGCCACTAGAATATTCCAAAAGCAATAACTCTGCTTTCTATTTACTTAAGTGGTAATTTTCTCAAATAATAGTATCCTGATCCTGCGGCCTGCTCGTGAAATGATCACTTGAAACGCGATACTAATGTTCACCGGATTAGAATTGCTTTCAATCAGACAACAATCTAGCAATTTCCGTAAGGATCTCTCAACAATATTATACGGCGAATTAATTCAGTAAGATCTTCATTAATGATAATACAGTTATAGCAAGGACATCGGTTATTTAAATGATAATATATTCGCGATCTCTCGCGAGTTATTAATACCGTCGTACTGCAGCCACCAAGTCTTATTGTTGGCTCATGAAAGTAATAGTAGTTTCAACTTTAATTAACATTGATCTCAGTTTATAGTCTAGCTTAGTCTCTTATGACTAATAAAAATTTGATATAAATAAAAGATTACGCTCGTAATAATCGTGATCAATTATTCGATCAACCATCTGCTGTCTTTTTTTCTATATTATATTGTAGCTATGCTAATAACATAGATAAAGAGAGAGAAAGTTTACCTCGTCAGAGAGTTAACGCTAAGCGACGTTTGCGCGAACGAGGTTTGCCAAGAGAAGCAGATATTTGCGTTGCCAACGCGTTAAACATTCCTTGCTACAGAAGAAAATAAAACCGCGCAGGAATCTGGAGCAGCGCGCTCGCGAGTCAAAGTGCAACGGAGGGACAGGGAGAGATACGGAATTTCCAAATGGTCGCATTTCCACGGTATTTAATAACGTGAGAGGCGCGAGTAGGCCGTGGGAGTGAATCGGCTTTGCCGCAATGGTGCAACATAATGATGTTCGGATACGACCACAATCACCTAACAACCTAATGATTGCATGCTCACTCTCCTGGAATGCCCGATCGCACTAGCAGGATGGCAGGATGGAGTCACTAAGTCAATAGTAATGAGATGTAGCGTGATCCTCGTGCTCGCGTCAAGAAAAAAATAACTAATAAGAGTGTCAATGCAACGCACACGCAAAGAATGAAGCGTGCAGAAAGACTGAGCCCCATTCTTGCATGCAACAGAGAGATGCTTAAGTATATAACTACGTGTGAATTTGCCATGTAAAATTTCTAGTGACATTTCTGATGAATCAAGAGAATATTATTTTTATTTTATTCGTATCAAAATAGTTATTAATTATATATAAATAATTTATATAATGTTGTTATTTATATATAAATTATTTTATTTATACTCAATATGCGCGACTTTCGCTGCATCAACAAACGTACTAATGAATCGCGATATCTATTAATATTCATTTATAACTTCTGTCGGATCTTTTCAATCTCTCCGCCCTGTTAGGATGAAGGATTAACGGACATCGTGTGTGATTGATTCTTTTAAACTCGCGAAGTACTCGTGAAGCAGTTAATAATACAATGGAACACGTAATCTGCGTGCATACGTATCTCATACTTAAAGCGAGCGATAATGACACGCTTGTTGGGTAATATGTGAACAAGTATCGGCCGTGGATATTATATAATACCCATCGGCTTATTAAACCGTTGTCAGACCGGTGCTATTACGGTGAAGATACGCGATTCAGCGCGTTCCACGCGTTCTACCATATTGCTCGCGCGCATATTCTAATTGTCGTTGTCAGACGCGGTAATTTCATACCATTTTTTTATTTTCCTATAATTTCATATCATCTTCGAATTTTCCTCGTATTGTCCTCGAATTTTGAGCCAAAGAAAACCTGTCAAATCATACGATACGTGACTTGTAATACATCATTATGCAGTGCACAAGAAGACGATACAAAAATCTCGTGAATTGTATTTACTTTACAATTTCTCATTAACAAAAATATGCATTTGAATAATAAATAATGCGCGAATTATCATTTATAAATAATAACTAATTCATATTATATTTGTCTTTTACGTATTAGATATTGTCTTTAACATATTAATGTATAATTAAGATATATCGGCATAAAATTAATTAATTGAACATCTTACACTACGTATCATGTATCTAATTGCGAGATGCTACCTCGCGTTTTGTAGTAACGACGTCATCCTACGACGTCATTCTTTAGATCTCACGATCGATTCAGACGCGCGATAAGAACATCCGACATAATTTCGCAAACTTGGATTGAAAAAAAAAAAATCAAGGCGGACAATCGCGTAAGGTTAATCGACGTATTATACCGCCGTTAATCACGATTGCGCAACGCGACTGACGCCGAATAAAAGACCATCGCTAACAAATCGCCGTTAAATCGCCTTATGACAGTGTGGCTGACCGATCAGCTGTTGCAATCTTACTCGTCGTGAGGTTGACTGACTGACAACTCTACAAAAGGCCGGTGCTACATCGCCACGAAAATGTCAGGAACTGCTTGCGAAATCGGACAACGACGCTCTTCGGAGATTATACCTTCAGCTGCCGTTTACGTGTATAACGAGCAGGCACGATTCGTCCGCAAAAAAACGTATTTTCATAATGACATACCGCGACACGCTTATGTTTTATACATCAGCGACTGCTTCCAAAATGTTTCTATTTTCAAGTCAAATTTTTAATAGGGTAATTTTAGCAATCACAATTTTAATGCAGACAAGTTTTTATAAAGAATCTTGACAAATAGTCTCTCGATTAATTCCGGTCTCTGTATTTTTGAGCTAATGATTAATAAAAATATTTATAGAACTATAAGGAAAAAGTGGAAACTACTAGCAGATATAAATTAATTACGTATTGATTTTAATTGAAGACTTGAACACTAAATCATATCAACTCTAAAATTGTTAAATTTAGATTGAACGCATCTTCGGCGAAATGTCATTTCTGCTCTGATACACCTTTTGTCGCTCGGATTGTCATACCATTTCGCAAAGAACTAGCATTCGCTTTGTGATAAGCCGACAGGAAAGAACACGGGAAACCGTTATCCCCAAGCGAGATGAGCCATACCGGGACCCGTTGACCCGTCGCGCAGAGAGAAAAAGTTTCACGTTCTCCTGGCAGCTCGTGCGGAGAGCCACGAGAGTTTCCTTTTCCTTCGCCTTCGCGATCGAACGTTGTTTATTCACGACTTACTGTCGACCCACTGATCCCATTTGAGAATGAGAAATTGATTCCCGACGAATTCTCTCGTGGAGTGCATTCAATTAGAGATCGACTCCGCCAACGTGGATTAAATGTATTTTAATCAATTGTCTGTTTTTGGTTAATTATAATACTAACTGTAAAATAGTCAATGATGAATATGATATAGTTAATTAAAATTAATAAACATGGATAATATCGGATCTAGATTGCCACAAATCGGGATTTCGAGAATAGTTTTGTCGAAACACTAAGTTTTATTTAATTGGAACACTAATTTATTTAATCTATGATTTTGATTAATTCTTAATTCAAAAATTCGTGTGATTTTACGTCCAAAAGTATATATTGTATAACATTATACTTTCTAAAAGACTAGAGACAATCTTTATATATCGATTTATAAATTATTATAATTTTATTCAGCATAAAATTTTACTATTTTTATAAATAACAACGAAAGATACAAGAACCATATTTTCTCCGAAGAAATCGCACTTTTGAGCATTTTTCCATGACACAAAGCATTTAATCAAAGTTGACACGTCATTGTCGAGAGTCTGCGAGTTTCGCGATTCAGATTTCGCACGCGGTACATTGGATTCCGCTTGCGTGACAATTATCAGAGATCGGTTGCGATTACAGCAACGTCCGTATTAC